GATCCAGGAAGGAAATGCACTCTCTTAAGTGAATACACGAGTTTGTACAAGCGCCTCGAAATATGTGATCGTATGCATGCACATGCCACATGCATTAGACTGCAAGCAACACAGTAAACAAGTTGCCTCGAGTCCTTTATTCTGCTGTGCCGACATAAACTATCAGCTTTGCTCGTAGACATGCTGGACTACACGCCTGCTCAGCTCGGTTAAAGCTGCACAGCTTCATTTCAGGAGCCGGTAAAAGTGTCGGGACTTGAATGAGCCGTCAATAAGAATCTTTTAAAGGGATGTAATTAAGATGGACTAGCCTCACTGATTTTCACTGACGACCTATGATAATATAAACGTGCCCTGCCTGCAGTTTATGCTGCATTCTGCTCCTTCTGTTATCAGATTTTATGATGTGGATCAAAATATCTTCAGTTATTTGAGGCATCCAAACAAAAAAGAAATTTACAAAGTTACTGTGATCCAAACATTTAAGAGAGCTTCAGATTACCGAAGGTGCTTCTTTTGGCTTTCCAGGTAACGTACAAACTGCCACATTTGGGACTAAAAACGTGTAACTGACATAAATTGTAGATCCTCCAACGGCCACTTGAAGCTCGCTCTAAGAGTGACTCTTTCCCCTTAGACGCCCATGTTACAATGCCCAGCTAACCACATTAGAAAGCATGTTCACTGGCCTCAAAGAACAGTTTCACCCTGCCACGACTATAAGGAGGGGGAGCAGCCTTTCATACCTCTGCTAACTGGACACTGGTGAGGCTTAACTTTGTCACCGTCTGCTCACCCCAGTCAATATGAGTTCATTTGAGCTGGACACCAGGCCTGCTGAGATGCACCCATCCAAGAAGTTTAAGTGAGTGAAATTCAAGTATTCTGACTGTATTCACATGTGGTCTACAGTAAACACAGCTGATGTTACCATTAGATCACAGTGTAGTTTAATGTACGTGTGACCACCAGCTGATATGGTACTGCAGACGCGCAGGACTAAACATTTCCATTAATGAATAATTACTTGGTTTCAAAACAGGAAATAAAAAGCAGACTACAGTTTGTTAACAGAGTCAACAAGACAATGAATGACTTCAACATCATAAACAGTACAGACATGAAAATCCTGAGACACAACAACCCACAACTACACTGAAAGATCTGATGGACTCTGCCCTTTGATCTTTGAAGAACACCGTCATTATTCACATGGTTTCATGTATCAACTCTTCAGAATATATCAGCCCATCAACACTGTGTGTGCGTCAGCCTTTATTCCTATTGATCCCCACTGACACCCACTGATAACCTGTGTGTCTCACATTTCTGGTGGGGAATAATAAGAACATCAGAAGGCTTGTTTGTTTTTTTTAGCCTTCAAGTATCTGCTCAGAAAAACATCAACGAGTCTATTACAAGCTTTTCCTTAACACCAATATGCTTTCTTATAATTAAGTTACACATGATCGTGATCTGAATGCATCTGTGTGTGTGTGTGTGTGTGTGTGTGTGTGTGGATGCAAAAGAATTTTAGGAGCAGTTCATCCAGACAATCGACACTCAGTCTTTACCTCTCATGTCACTTAAAATCCAGCTCAGGCCTGCGGTGCCGAACAGCTGGAACAAAACGTCCAGGACGGAGTTCATCCGCAGGACTAGTTATTCTGAGCCACAAAGTACACATACACAGAATTATGTCATAACTCTTGTAGGAAAGCTAAGTGTGTGTGTGTGTGTGTGTCCTTTCATAATAATGCACACACTTGCACAACACCTTAAATAAAGTCTAAATCTGTGGGAAACACTATCAGCTGATCTGCTGTTGACAGAACTAAGCTGTCATTGGATGCTGTATGAGACCTGGGTCATGTGATGATCCAGTAGAAGAGACATGAGTGAAAGTTTTGGTAAAACCTTGAATCTTGACCGTATTCCTGCTCTCAGTGTAAGTCATGCAGCCTCACTGCTCTTCTCACAGGTTAGTGAACGTTTCCTGTGACTTGGACTGCCTTGCATCAGTGATAGTAGCGTTATCACTTCCTCTCTGATGTTCTCGTTTGTTGCTCCAGTTGCATAAAGACTGACGAGTGTCTGACGTTCTGTAGTGTGATTCCACCTGAGCAGAGGCCTCGTGGGCTTTCACTGTATAAC